TTTATTTCATTCTTTTTTATTTAACTTGTATTTGCTGTATAGATGTCAGTTGGGTCCGAGTGTAAGTAATTCCTTTTGATGGTCAATTATTCATAGTTGGAGAGATTGATATATAAACCGCGGTAAATCAAATTTTCAATAGTCTATACTACACTGAATTAAAACATATTAAACAAAACCTCATTAATAATGACTTTCCTAATTACATTTTTAATGAACAAATTAGAGGAGCTATTAGGAATATAAACATAAATAAAATGAACATAATACATCATCTAGTAACTCTAAACATTTCAAAGTACTATACCGTAATCAAATGCATTCTAACTATAAGCAAGGGGGAACATTCTAAAAAAGACTAATAAACACTAATATGTCCCTCACTGACCTAAGTAAAACAAAAAAAAATCATTATATGCTAGACTAAATTTAATACAATCAACCTAGTCGTACAAAAGAACAACATTGTATATCAATTTAAATGTCCTTTGTGAGATTGAAACTTAGTTTTACAACAACGAGGTTGAAGAGACGGCTTTCGATTCACTTGAATAAGCATAGTTCAATCTCAGAACATTTAAAGAAACATTCATGTCCACATTCACAGATATATCCACATTAGACAGATATTAGTTGAAAATACATAAGTAAATCATGACAATAATAATAAGTAAAAACTTAAGATATTGGAAGCCATTGATATAAGAGAACTGCGGCCATAAATAAATACAGTGAACTATGAGTATAGCAACAAAGTTATTAAATGTTTGTAGCAGCAATGTTTTATATAAAAATACAAAATTATTATATAATAATTAAAAATATTTTTATTTAAAAAAAAAAATACCAAAGATACTTTCCTTGCATAATTGAACATTTTGAATTCGAAACGCTGTAGTATAAATGAATAGTGAAAAAATTATTTTAAATTTACGGATCTGCTGTATACACATCGTCAGATATTTTAACACTCTGAAGATGGCCTCATATGAGACTGAAAGTACTTGAGAAAATAAAAATTATTTGAAAGAAAAATTTTGCTATTTTTCTTGCTCAATTTTCTGCAGCCACAAAGAAATTATCTCGTGAAATTGAAAGGATTAAAGCTAAAATGAATAGACATAATACGTCTAAATAATTTAATCAAACATACTTGAATGAAAATAGGGTACATAAAACACACACACACACACACACATATATATATATATATATATATATATATATATATATATATATATATTCAAACAGGTTTTGTTAAATAACTTAAACACATCATGTCGATTAGTTTCGTTGTGATTCTTTCAATTAATCCGCGAACTCGAAAGGATCACAACGAAAACAAATCGACAAGATTATGTCTAAGTTACTTAACTAAACCTGTTTGAATGAAAATATGATGTCTAAATATACACAATATATGCGTGCGTGCATTTCATCCACTGAGGGACTTAATCAAGTCAAATGTAAAGATTTTATTTTGGGACAAGTATTTATATACAAGAGCAAAAATCTGATTCATTTTTCAAAATTTTTGGTTCAGATGAATAGTCATGAAGTTGGTAGAAAAATTTATGGACTTTAGCTGATAGAGTTCAATGCCGAACAAACGAAAGTGAGAAGGAGATTTTTCCTCTTGTATATAAGTATTTTTTACAAAATAAATTCCTTATACCTCCCTTGATAAAATCCCTCAGATGACAAAATGCATCGGCTAAGATAAATTTTCCTTTTGTCTTTATTCATATTGCTCTTTTACAGATACATTCTATCTGAAATTTTGACACACACAAACTATTATATATAAGTGAAAGAAATTATTAGGAGGATTTGAAATAATCATAATTAAGTAATTCACCGAGTCTAGAAGAATCCTCAACAGAATGCAGTTTCGTCCTATATTTGTGACTCATCAGCAGTGCGCATCCACTACCGAGAATCGAAGACGGACCGTTACGATACGACGCAAGCGTCATACCAACTGGCGTTGCAGATGAAGAGGTTAACTAATTAAACACGATATAGTGCCGCTCTTCACAAATTCCGTGGTGTGACTCATCCGAGTTTCCCTAACCCAACGGACTGTACCCCCCGTGTCTTCTATCCCGAAGCCGTTCCATCCAGATCATTAGAAGACGGTTCAAGAAGGATGTACACGTGAAAGAAATTATTAGGAGGGTTTGAAATAATCATATGGCATTATATATATATATATATATATATATATATATATGTAAGCAAATATATGGATATAGATCCGACAGTATGAAGAAAAATATATACGGAAAAAACAAAACAAAAATCCTTACATACAATTATGCAGTTTTAATGTAATTATGTCAACGTCGGACGTTTCGGTCTAATAAACCATCTTCAGGACATATTCCTAAATATAACATTATCAATACAACATGACAAAGACGATATACTTTCAGTTATTTGTTTGGATAAGTCTTGTTCTTATGTAGAGCTCTTCACAAATTCCGTGGTATAACATATCCAAGTCTTCTATATTTGATTATAATAGAAGCTGCTCCATCCAAAGCATTAGAAGCCGGTTCAAGCCAGGATATACTAGTGAAAATAATTATTAGGAGTATTTGAAATAATCATAAGTAATTCATCGAGTCTAAACGAATCCTCAAGAGAATGCAGAAATCACTGGACGCCCGTTATGATTATTTCATTTTGTGAAGAGCGGCGCTATAGCGAGTCTAATTAGTTGCCTCTTCGTCACTAAGACGCGTTGTTATGACGCTTGGGTTGCATCGTAACGGTCTGGGATTCGATTCTCGGTTGGGGATACGAATATAGGACGAAACGGCCTGTCCAGTGCTTTCTGCATTCTGTTGAAGATTTTTCTAAACTCAATGAATTACTCAAAAAAAAATATATATATATATATATATATATATATATATATATATATATATATATATCACTGGGTTAATGACTGATTTGCACTTTATACATTTCATTTGTCGATTTTACATCATGCCGCACTGGTTTATTCTGGCTGGATGCGAACTAAAGCTCTAATAGTTTCCTCTCTGATCGGTTTGCTAGTAACTGCTGCCATTGTCGGAGTTACCTCCTCCTTCTATCCTTGAACCGGCAGAGGAACAGGTCATTTCGACCTTGACCTCTCATTCATGCTCCTTACACACTGTTAACACGTCGGAGGGACTAGCAAATCCCCTTTTTAGTTGGGTTATATTACAAACCTAGTTGTAATATACTACTAGTCATTTTAGACCGTTGTTCTCTTTAGCTAACCTCGTAGTATTTTATTATAGAGACTTTTCGTTTAGCTTAGCCAATTTCTCTTGCTGGTCTCCATTGTCACAAGACAGTGATTTCTCGCTAGATTCTAGGGGAGGCGGTCGGCGACCGAAACGGTCGGCTAAGCAGGTCCCTTGGCCTTCAACGGGCTGTGTATTAAGTTACGCTCCCATTTTTTTGTCTGCCAACTTGACGATAGTTGGGAACTTTCTTTCTTTCTCTCTCTCTCTTCTTCCCAACGCGTCAAGTTGGCAACGACTCAGCTTCAACAACCAACAACGATCATCCTGGCATCAACCAGCATCAACTTCAACAACCACCAAGCGATCATCCTAGCAACAACGGACATCAGCTTCAACCCCCAACAACGATGATCCTAGCAACTACCAACACCAACCTCGACCATGCCTGCACCGAAACTTCTGCCCCTCCACCATTCCGACCATCTTTATTTCCTTTTTCTTTCCCTGAATAAATTAGCATTTATCATACATATCCTCGTTCTGTCGTCTATATTGTTTCACCGTCAGATTTAACGTCTTCAAAAATACCAGTTCACCCCTTTCTGTGATACGGGGCCGCACTGAGTGCCCGCCGCTACACCATTTTGCATGGAAATTATTTAATCTTTAACATTTTAAAGAATAAATGTAACAATACTGATAGTGTTAATTAAACATTAGTCAAATTAAGATCAAATCAATGTGCATATAAATTCTAAATAAGTTTAATATATGCTAAATGAAACACTCAAAATGTGCCAAATTCATTTAATTTTCCAATAAGATAGTGCGAGCTCATGATTCTAAGTGAACCATAAATTATTTAAAAGCAAACGGTAGCACACATTTTCAAAAATTGGTTAAGTCAGTCTTCTGACTTGAATATTATGTAAATTTATTGGAATGTACAATAAATGGAAAGTCAAAAATGAAATCCCAATGACTAGCAATCAGCTTTCGTCGTTCAAGAATACTAAACAGGCAGTTAAGATTTATTTTGAATTTATGCAGTTCACTCCGAAATGATCTTTTTGTGTTTTACTTAATAAATATCTTTGTATGAATTAGAAGGTGATTTTTGCGATTATGTGTATTATTTTTTGAAGAGGATTCATTTTATTTTTTATTTATATTTTAAAATGGTTAACAATTGTAGATCGTGTTTATATCGATGTTCATTATTATGTTAGTATAATATATACAAAAGTCTTTCCTATTTTCTTTGATTTGTACTGTCCCACTATTTAAATTTTGGAATGACTTTAGAATCTCAATTTTATGTTATATGAATTTTAATGTCTTTGACGGCATGAGTCTAAAGCATTTGCCAACACTGTAGCTATAGATTTTCTTAAAAAGATCTGCACACATTATTGGATTAAACTTTTTGAATCTCCCTCTCACTCTTTCACACACCACACAAACACACACATAGACATAGATAGATAGATAGATAGATAGATAGCTTGAAACGCATATATATATATATATATATATATATATATATATATATATATATATATATATATATATATACGGGCGTGAGAGAGAGGTTTGTCTGTTGAAGGTTTCTGGTATTGGTAAGCAAAAGTTTCGCTAATTTATTGTGTTTGATGACATCGAAATAAGATTGCGGCTAAAGCAAACAAACTCTGCAGGAGTTGGTTCCTTTGCCAACATCTGTTCAATGTAACTCTGTCATGGCGCTGATATCATTTAAGTAACCTTGTCGCCTGAACGATCATAAAGAGAGGCGCAAAGCCGATGGAAACAGAAAGAGTGAGATTGAGAGAAAAGAAGTGTGGGAAAGGACCGAGCGTAGATAAAATATGAGAGAGAGAGCTTGAGTGAGATCGAGAGAGAGAGAGAGAGAGAGAGAGAGATGATTTCCTGCTAAGTTACAAGCAGATTTAGCCTTGAGTTTACAATAGTGGTATTGTGATTGGAAATGAATATATTCATTTTGAAACTACTATTATTAATACTATTGCTACTATTATTATTGCTGGTGTTGTGTTTTGTTATTGCATTTCCTGATATAAGTTACCTTAAATCTCAAGCAGAGACTTCAAGAAACAATAATTTGTTGTATCAGAAAATAGATGTTCCTTGCAATCCGAGAGAAACATTGAACACTGCATGGTGAAAAATCTATTCAGTATGTGACAAGTGCCAAAGCGAATGATATTTTGCAATTCATAGATTTTAAGGCTACAAATAATTTGATTCACATATATGTTTACACCTTTTGATACCATTCCCAAAGCCTCAATGACAACAGTATATTGTCTTATAGAAATCAATCGAATGTGGCTTCTATCTCAAGGTCCTTGTATTTACATACTTCCTCAAATATTTTCAAAGATATGTTTATTATTGTTGTTTTTATTTTCTTTGATTCCTGGCGTTTACATATTTCTTTCCGGGTCCCTTGGGACCTAAGGTTAGAAATGGCATCATGACACTTTCCACTGACAAAAAAAAAAAAAAAAATATTACATAGATAAAGCCCTTCGTAAAGTGTGAGCTGTACTTGTCAGAACATTTTTTTGTATCTCCTTGAGGCATGGATTTCCAGGAATCCCTTCAATTAGTCTACTGCAATCTCTTCCAACCAGTCCTAGGGCTCCAACTACAACAGGGATTGTTGATGTTCCCATGTGCCACATTTTCGCGATTTCTATTTCAAGGTCCTTGTATTTTGACAGCTTTTTATTATTATTATTATTATTATTATTATTATTATTTACCTCAGATTACAATGGTGATTTGCTGACAGCACGTCTTGTTTTTAGTTATGCTGTTGTTCTGGATGATTCTTCTTATGGTTTTCATTTCTCTCAGCGTTTAATCTTGTCGGGATCTGATCCTAGTGCTCAAATAACAACCGGTACCTTTATGTTCTCTAACTTCTTGAACTGCATAATAAGACCGCTGTCCCTATCTATTTTTCAAATTGCTTTCAAATATACTACATAAGTCCTTGATATATTAAAATGCACTCTCTCGCTTATTTTGTTAATTTTGACATAATCTGGTTTTAAACTAAGTCTATATATATAATGGGAGACACGGTGGAGTATGGATAGCGGCTCGGATTGAGAAATCGGAGAGCCGAGTTCGAATTCCATTCAAATCCATTACATTCACTGCTAATACGTGCTAATACCCTTGGGAAACTTATGAATCCTCTTCTTCTACCACAGCTATAGAAAAACAGCAGAACAGACCGGGTTCTTGGATGGCAACTGGTCTACCGCAGAAAAAATGACAACCTACTCTGGGAAAAAATCTGCCTCGTCAGATACATAATGGCCTAAGCGTGTATCACGCATGGCATATAACAGACTGACTGTATATAACGATTCGAATAATTTATTGATAATATTTCAGAAGTGTAAAATATTTATTTTAGTTAACGTCATGATTCACAATAATGCGCAATTATATCAACCTGATGATGAATACATTCATGCAGAATGCGCATTCTGAAAATTTATTTTTTTCTCTCAAAAACATTCCGTTGCTATAGTAATTCAAGTGCGTTAAAATAAACCCTTCATATGCAGTTACATTTTTGTTACTAAATTTGTTTAAACATTACTCATGATACAATTTCTATACAGATATTTTATTTAAAAAAACAAAAAAACTAGTTTGAATAATTTCTTATTCTTCAGGATCCAATGAAGAGAGACTATATGTTTTGGGGGTGATGTCTTCTGCTCCTGAGAGCGTTTAACTTCAGAAAACATTTATAATAACAGTTGTTCGAAGTGTTGAGATTTTTAAAACAAATATTTCACTCTATTATTCTTATTGCTATTTTTTTCCTTTTTTTATCGAAATGTTTCAAGTGTTAATTTTCTCCTAAACCAGCAAAACACATCAAAGTCTAAGTAAGTACAAAAAGCTCAACGTCGAATAATTAAACAAAGATAAAGATACATGTAAATATTTGGCCGAAACATTTTCATTGTATTCAGAATTCTATAAAAGAAACTCGATTTTCTTTTCCTTTTTCATTTGTAGAGAACTACGTACCACAGTTATTGAAAATACAAAATAGAATGAACTAAAATGTATTCTTAAAGTTACCTTTTTCTTACCAACTTGTGTAGGAGTTATGTCTATACTGCAGTCATTTAACATTAAAGTAAAAATGCCTACCAATAGCAGTACTAACTTAGTCCGCTTCAGTATACTTAATTTTAGTATTAATACACTAATCTTTTCTTTTACTTTTCAAAATAATCTGTAGATCTTTCAGGATTGTCAGCAGCTGCTACGTTGTGTTCTCCTTAATCTCTTACTCAACGATCCAATTATTGTTTTAGCTTTTGGAACAGTCAGAAGTTGAAGTGACCAAGATTTCGACTTTCATCCAACAGATATATTTGATGCGATGTTTTAAGAAAAACCTGCACCGTTTATAGCTCTACACACTTTGTTTAATAACAGTAAATTCTATTGACTTTTGGAGAGAAAAGTAAATTCCTGTTGTCTTCTTTACCGTTTTGAAATCAGAGTTATCACTCGCCTTCACTTTCTGTCAAATGTGGTTCGAGAATCCTGTCTATCCACGAAGGTATTCCATTACTGCTTGAAGAAGAGATGGCTCCAAACTAATACTAAAAGCATTAATGCGAAAATGAAAGCAACAGACACGGTCACAAATTGGATTCAGCCCGATTGCACTTTAGCGCCGATGACCGTTACCTACCCTACACATAGACCAAACATTGAATTACTGAATCGATTGTTGTTTAAAAATTTATAAAATTGACAATATCTGAGATATCGGCACTATAATATGAAGTGGTACTAAAACTTTCTTAGTCGCTCCAAGAAGAGATTTCAATAATAATTTTGATATTTCCTCATTTGGTCAGATTTAAGGAAGTGGGTCACTCTAAAGCATAAAATAAAACGGGTGAAACATAGGAAAAATATTCATATCGAAAGCTTAGAAAATGTTTGATTTTTGTAAGTTAGTTTGTAACTTCACGAAATGTCGGATTTTGAAAAAAACAAAACAAAAACTGAATTTAAGATTTAAAATAAAATGAGGAATTGACTTTGCTCCAAATAAATGCTAAATCTGAAGAGAACAATAGGAACGATTCAGTTATGTACCTGGCCGCACAAAAATAGTTTTTAAAAATAAATTCTCATATATATTAGTTGCACCACATAAATTATAGAAGTTTTAACGGGTAAAAAAAATATCTATATAATATTAAAACTCTAATAGTATATATATGTATGTGTGTTGTAAAGATACAGGTTAAACGATTTCCCAATATCGATATGATATCCTAACCAATTAAGAAGCATGTTGTACCTTGAACCCCTGCCGGATACAGTGCCAAATGTCATTAAATTCGACAAGGAATTCTTGAACTAGGGCCGTTTTGTGGGTTTAACGGCATTTTTAATGAGAAATCTAATATTTGATTCCTATACACATTCTCATATCAATCCGCGTATATAAACAAATATTTGTCTGTTATATCCTATTATGTATATGAAAAATAATAAACATTCATAATACATTGTAACAACATTATTAAATAAATTTAAATATATAGAAAACAATGTATATTTGTACAATTCACTACACTACATTAGCACTTCTCGCTTGTGGAACCCACTTCCTGCTCCATCCTTTCCAGCCAAGTTTAATGTGCAAAAATGTAAATCCAATGTCAAACGCTATCTACTGCCTCCTGGGTACTCTTTTCACTTCCCACTCATTATTAACGGTTCTGTCCCTAATTCTTCCACACCCTTGTGTCTTAGTGGCTTTACTGCCTTGCATGGGGGTGATACCGATAACAAAAACAGTAAAATTACAATATTCCCAATAGAAAATGATACAATATAGTTGGAATTTCTTAGTTCCAACTTGATAGGAAATTAATTTGTTTAATCCGATATTGCACATGAAACAATATAATTACTATTAGAGTGTGAAAAATGCCATGGAATAAAAATAGACATTTGCAGTAGAGTTAATGATACAAAGAATTGTTTAAACGAAGCAGCTGTCTTGACCAAAATTGGATTGTCGTTCGTAGATGATAGAAAGCAAATACAAACAATTAATTTCGCTTAGCTTCGATTAAATGACCTAACAATCTTCAAGCAAGAACGTGAATATTCATTTGAATATATCGGTGTGATATGTTGATGGAGAGAAGTAAGATGAAGATGAAAACAGCGGAGGAAAGAAAATACGTAAATATGCGTAAATTACCTTGTCAGAAGCATGGAACGATGTTTTTATTTTGAATCTGAGTGTCAGGGAAAAGAAGAAAAATCAGAATTCAAACAACAACAAAAAAAAAACGTGAAAAGATTAAGCAATAAAGACAAACCAATTTCCTCCTTAGTTGTTGATGTTTAGTATCTCTTTTTTCACACGTAAATAGGTTGCCACAACATACACACACTACCATTATTGGTACATGTACACAGATACACACACTCTCTCGCATGTACCACGGGTGTAACTAAGCAACACTTATTCATTTATACAATTTGGTTAAAGACCAACAGAAGTTCGTTTTTAAGGATTTTTAAATTATCAAATCATCTCCCTGGTTTCCCGAGTAAGGTTAAATATAGAATGTTGAATCTCTGGGTGCGTCTGGCTACAAAGAAATGTAACAAAAAATATAAACCCCATTATTTGAGGACTTATAAAAGCAGTAACAACTAAAATATACAGCTGATCTAACTCGATGAAAAAGTAATTACATAATCATATTGAGTTCTACACTATTTTAAGCAACCGGTTAGGCAGGAATCCCCGATCAATATTGAAATGAGTAATCGCATTTATTGGATATGGGAAACCTATTTTTCCAAAAATTGTTTCAATGGAAACA